TCTGCACCCCAGCAGTTGCATCAGCAGTGCTCCAGTCCCACTGCCAGCAAAAGGACCTTGTCCCAGCCCCAGTCCATGGAGCAGGGGCCATTCTCCAACAAAGCCTGATTATTCATCTGTTAAGGGTTTGGTCCTCCATGTTTAATCAAGCAAAGCTTTTGATGAGAGCTTTGCCTGAGAGGGCTCTGCAGGAATTTGGCTTTTCAATTTAATGGTTAACCAGCTCCAAGCCTTGACCTTCAGCAGGGTCGAGGAGCTCCATGCAGATGGGAGACTGCTCCTTCTTTTCTTGTGGTAAAATTAAAAAGAAAAAGAAGCTCATACATCATAAAATGTGACAATTCCCAGAGTAGCTCTTTTGGGGCTCCTTCTACCAAAGAGTTGTAGCACTGCCAGGCAAAAGGAGAAATGATGTTAATCACCCAAACCCTAGGCAAACACTATATCTTTTTTGTGAATCAAGTTTAAACAGAAGTTATGCAGGAAGGACCAAGTCAAAAACCACTTTTTCCAGATGTCAGAAAAAGTGAAACACACATGAGGGAAAAAAGCAGTTACGAACTTTTAGCTTGATATATCTGGTAGGTGAAAGAACTAATGCAGTAAAGAAAATGTTTGCATAGTGCTGCTGAGCCTGCTCTAGACTATAATACTGGTCAAAGAGCACTTTCACCAAACTTTTCTTAATCATGCTGCTGTTTGAAGAGCAGAAAACACAGGGAGGGGGAGAAAAAGAAAAATCTAAAGGTGAATGCAAAGTTCTATTTACTGAGATAAAGACTGAAGGAATAGATATAGATATAGAAAATGTTCCTGAAATATGTTCCTTGTTATAAATAAACCATGCTGCCAGCACCTAAATAAAATAAAATAAAATCAAATCCCTGTTGAGAGTCACAGGGGAGCAATACCATGGCCAGATTATCTGCTGATGCAGCTGAACTATGCTTAAGACATCTGCTGAGATGAAACTACTATGTGGCTGGAGGTATTAGGGAAAAAAAGAGTTACTTCAACAAAAAAAAAAACAGCCAGTGTGTGAAAACAAAACCACACCAAAATGTAATGGAACATACGCTTCTACAACTGTAGCACCACCGTACAGTAGTTATTCCATCAATCTACCTGCCTTAGAAGTGAAGCAAAAGATTGTAAAACAGGCTGATAAATGCACTGCTTTCTGCAGAAATCTCAGATCCTGAACAGTTGCTGGCTGTTAAAAGAAAGTGAGGATCAAAAAATAAGAGGGATTCAAAGACCATTTCTTGAAAACGGATTCCTTGTCCAGCTGGCCACCCAAGTGCTGAGCTCAGAGCCCCCGAGCTCCGCCTCTTGCGTTCATTCACACCCAAGTCCATGGGAGCAGCGCAACACCCAGCCAGTGCCCCGGGTCAGAGCTATGCCGCCAGTGGCAGGCAGGAAGCAGAGGACGCAGGCAGCCGGCAGATATGCGTTACCCGTACCGGCGTGCGCCACTTAACCAAGGGGGTGCTTTAAAAACAAGTTCCTTAACTCGGAGCGGCTTTTACTTTGGTTTGCGAGCGGTTTGACGTTGGCTTCACTGCAGCTGATTCTTTCATGGCTGGAGCTACACCAGGCAAACTGCTTGACCAGAATGGAAAGAAGCACCTCATTTGAATAAAACTGCTTTAAAACCCGGCTTCAACAAAACACAAGCAGTTTCTCTGCACAAATCATATCTTGCCTTTTGAGGGCTGCAGCCTTCCATTTAGTTTTTACAATGAGTACCATTCTGTGCACTTCTTCTGTAAGAAAAGTACGAATTCACGTTATTTTTCACTTTAATTTCAGTATGAACTCTTAACTCCCGCTTTGTAAAACACTGCATAGCTATTATTAACCATAGGTCAGGGCTTAACCAACAAGGGACAGACTGGCAGATCTAATGCACACATACACTGGAGATACAATTCAGGAATACTGAGGAATAGGTATCCCCTCCTTCAATCAAACTCTCACTTGGAACAGCAGAGGGTTTCTGTAAGCCCCCTTCTCCCTGAATTCCTTTCTCTCTGGTTTCTTCTCTTACCATCTAAAATTATCACAACACAGCTGTTGTCTCAGGTGTCACTCAGTAAGCATCTTCACCCTGACTTGCTATTTTCCCCAGAAACGCCCACCACCAGCACTTAAAAAAAATAGTTTCCAGCCACCATGCGTAGAGTTCCCATGTTCCATTTTTCTGCCAGCCTAATAATATCTTTTGCCTCGATTCTTGGTTTGTCATGGGTTGAAAATATGAATCAAATCCAAGATTATCTTCCAAGTCTTGGTTGGTACTTGAAATATTTGGTGTAATACTGCAGCAGGAGCTGCACAATTTTATTCAGGAGCAATTTAGCATTCAACTTATATTCATTGAGCCTCTTACTCATATGTGCCTTGAGTATGCCTTCGACAGATTCCATGCATCTTCCTGGGGTTATAGGTCAGTCTCAATCTTTCTTCTTGGTGCTGTTCTGCCATACATAAATCACCAAAAGCTTCACCGTCTAGCAGGGGGCTTAAGTGTGTTTTAGTCTCTATGGCACTCTGTGTAGGAAACTGGTGCCAGCAGGAGATGCTCCATTCGCACTTGTGTCACCTAGCGGTGAGGGCACAGCCTGGGGAGGTCAAGATCTTAGTACAACAGGACTAGAGGTGGGTACATGCCATGGCCACAGTATCATAGGATAAAAAAAGCACATTTCCCCTGTTTCCAATTTTGTTTTTCATATCTAGTCCTTTTTCTTCTTTGATTTGCTCATCAAATGGGGAAGTGTGATCTCTTCTTCTATATTCTACTCACTCCAAACCACATTCAAGGATTTACTTCAGCTAGGAAACCTGGGAGAAAATTCCAGGTGAAGCAAAACCAGTTCTGTTGCCTGATTTTATTCCTCTAGAGAGACCTAGGTGGGCAGTCGAAAACTCAGTTTCTCAAACATTCCAAACTGGTACCTTTTTACCTGTACAGAAGGGTGAGGCCCTGGTGTCCCAGGTGTGCTATGCATTGCACGAACCACAAAAGGTCATGAGCTCTCAAAAGTAGGATCCCCCAGATAATTCATCGACCAGTGGGAGCTTTTCTTCTGATGATGCAGTATGTGAAACTTAAACTCCCTGCTAGAGCATTTTAGTGAATTAACAGCTCAAAAAATGCTCAAAGTGCCCTGTTTGTGTGGAAAGCAGTTGTAGCCTCTCTGATTTACCTCTGGTCCCTTAAGTAATATTCAGTAACTACTGTAAGCTTCATTACTACATACTTGACAGACAAAAAAGGTAACGACAGTCTTGTCACAGCAAGTCTTGCTATTCCTGTTGCTTTTCCTTACTGCCATTGCCTTCTGGTCCTGTTTACTGGGAAACCTGACTCATCTGCTACTTTTGCAGAACAGAGTCATGCAGAGTTGGGGGATTCCCTGCTGCAAGAGCTATTTACAATTTAGTTGTAATCAGCACAGTTTGTACAAGGGTTTTGATACATGTATATATGTGTGTACACTCTCTCCTGAACCTAACGTGGTGCTTACGTGGTAGCTTGCAAAACAAAATAGTAAGGACAAAAATAAAGCTTCTGTGTGGGTACTTAGATGTAGCTCTAAGACACAGACTTTTTATCACCTGCTGATGAATATGAACTTAAGAAACATTACAGGCACTTAGAAAAAGTATACCAAAAAGCAGCTATGTTAGTCATCCTAAAATTATTGGAAGACAAAAAAAAGAGGCATTTTGTATTAGGTATACCTTTTTGGTCACAAACAGAGAATAGGTGATAACATTGTGCAGATGGTCTTATCATGCTTTGATAAACACTTAATAGAAGTGCTTTGAGTTCTCCCACCACCAAATAAGTGATACACAGATGGTCTTGGCTTAGTGGCCATTTCAATGGGCAAATTCAGTGGGATTCAGTGTTATGTTTATCTGTATTGGTTGCTTACCCATGTTCCAGTTCCATATATAGTCCTTTCAAGTACCTGCTAACTTAAGTGGCAATCCAGAACATAAAAGTTTTGCAACTCAGTCAGGGAGGTTGTACTTAAACCCATTGCAGGAGTGCATTCATATCAAGAATATCTTATGACTTAAGATGACTGTTCCAAGATAAATTCCTTCACAACAGACAAGGGATGTCTGATATCAAAATGATAAAAATAGTTTTTCTCCTTTCTAAGAATCACTGTAGCTAATTTTCAATGCTTAGAAACACTCATGCAGGGAATATGCACTGTTCATTGCGAGTAGGTACATGCTAATCTCTCACATTAGAGAGCACCATGTCTCAGTGGCACATTCTTTACTCACCTAAATGCTTCAGTGAGAAGAGAAGGGTCTATATGACTCAGTGCTGGAAACTGGCAAAATAAAATCAAGCAAGAAACAAAGAAATGATGCAGGGACAAAGATGCTAAGAATTTCCATTAATATAGATATGCTGGTCTTTTCCACCCGAACAAGTCTTCATGCTACTGTAACTATTCAACTGATTTTACATCAAAAGATACGGCCAGATCTGCAAACATTTTTCACCACATTTTTGTGGTTTTCACTCTTTCAACCCATTTTCTGCTATGGAATTAATTTACAAACAATGTGTCTTGTCCTCCAAGTAACCGTATGTGAAAGATAGATACCCTATGCAATGAAGCGTTTCACGCCATTCGTGCCACCCAGTCTGCCCCCTGGAGACATGTCCTTCTAAAAACTGTGTTTATGTTTCCATTTTTATATAGTATTTGAAGCTGAGAATTTTCTTATAAACGCTTGGCATAACCTTTTCATTAACCGTGATATACTTCTCACACAAAATAAGAGACAAAGAAGAGAAAATTATATGAACTTACTTGTTTATGGTGTTTATGTCACAGAACATCTGGTATTAGCTTTGATTTATATATCCTTCTGACATGCTAGAATTTGTAAAATTATTTTGATAAAGCGCATTTGGCCTACACATCCTGATGTGTGTGATAGTGGCACAATAGTTCCTGGGAATTAAAGTATACCATTTCTTGACAGAAAAAAACGTTTTCGGTGGCATTGTAGATGGGGTCTAGTGTCACGTACCTAGGACTAGCATTCATATCTCTAGTATGAAAAAGTTTAAACCATGACAGTCTTCCACCATTTTAAGCGTACTGGCACATGATTTTAGAAGCATTGTTTCAGACTAGAATAAATATAGATACCAGACACAACTCCACACTACCTCTCCTACCTCTGTAATTAAATTTAGGGAAAGGCATATTCCCCTGCACTCCCAGAAGTTGGTAACAGCCTTCCTGAAGGGTGAGTTTGATCTTCAGAGGCACGTGTTTCCATTGCAGCTTTTCACAGCCTTTTTGCACAGCTCTGTTGGGAAGTGCCTTAGTTGGACCTTCTGAACAAGCTCTTGTTTTCCTGCAATACATAATCTCTGCTTATTCAGTTCCACTTAGCTTCACAATCCCCCCTCTGCCCTCTTCCTCCTGTTCTGCTTCTGTTCCTGCCACCTGGCCCCGGAGTTATGGCTTCGGCAGCTGAAATCCACCTCTGTCTTCCTCCATCACCCCACAGTCAGCCCAGGGTGCTGAAAACTGCACCAAATGCTTCCTTAGCGCCCATGTTACCATGCAAGAGATATGCTGAAAGCTGTAGAAATTATTCAACATACTGTTTAGACTCATGGGGGTTGGTCGGGCACCAAAAGCAGAGCTTCCAATAAGAGAACAATGCGATTCAGGTTCCAGGTTCAGAGTAGGGAAATAACTAACCTGAGATAAGGAAAACCAGCCTTTCTTGTGCTATTACTGTAGAGGAAGTTTCATGGGGAAATCTCTGCTTTTCAAACAGAAGGGAGAGCCAGGCAGGAAGAAAATTTTCAAGGACAGCTGATACTGGAAGAGGAAGATGGCATTTAGGATTTGCAAAATCAGCAGGCAGTTTTTTTGATACAAGTAGCCCTATACCATATGGATGTAAGTATCACTAAAAGTCCAAAAAGAGGAGGTGATGCAATTGCTGGGTGCGTTGCTTACAACCATCATTACTGCAACAGAGCCACTCCAGAGAAAAGCTCATACATGGTCCTTGCAAGGCCCTTCTTACTTCTTTGTGTGGGCTTTCACCCTCCGCTGCCAGTTGGGCAGAAAAGAAGTCACTGGAAAGCTTCAAGTCATCTTCAGCAGTGTGACGAACAAGATGCTCTTTCTTCTTCCTACTCCTCCCCAGGTCTGGTGTGTGGGGCCCAGGTTTTGGAGGTGTGAGGAGGCCATGCAGGACCCTTGGCCACCCCTGGCATGAGGACAGAAGCCCCTGCCCTGGATGCCCACGGCAAGCTGTGGTGCACCTGACCTGTTCAGTGCCCTCAACCCCAGCATTACAATCAAAGCAGAAAATCGGGAATCTTCATCCATGGTTGAGTGTTTTTTAAGCCTGGTAGCTTCACATTTTCTAGATTTTCTCCATGACCACAACAGTTAAATATGTATTTCCTTTTTAATTTAACCAAAGTTGGACACCTGTCTTCTGAAACTGGGACTTTAATTCCCCTTAGTCCCCAGCAAGTCTCTCCCTTCTGTATCTCCTCCTCCTCCTCTTCCTCTTCCTCTCCTACAGCACCCCATCTTAATATTTAGGAAGATTTATGCTGGAGCTGGCAGCAATATATTAGGAGCAGAAGGTGGTATTCGAGTAAAGGCCAATGCAGTGCAGAATTGCAGAGCTGGATGGAAGAGCAAACAGAAAGGAAGCACTTACCATAAGGTGCTTTGCATCAGAGCTGGCTGTACATTTTTCATCTAAGCAAATTTTCACTGAAAATTATTCTCTTCTTGGTCAAAGACAAACTTTTCATGAGAGGTGTCTGCTTTTGCATTTTGACTTCAGATAACTGAAGGCTACAAAACAAAAGATATTCCAATCAGCACATATTCCAGCTTTCAGCCAAATTGTGTTTGACAAAAAATCTGTCATTTCTCAGGGAAGAAAGGAACCTTTTTTCATCCAGTACTATTTTATAAGCCTGCAGTATACAATGCCTATTGTTTTTAGTGCTGTTAAACCTCTTGCCATATTTCAGTATTGCAGCTGGCTATCATGCTTGTGTTTGTATATTGAATATCTGTGGGGTAGATTACTTCATCGCTTTGTATCAGTTCCCCATTTGGGAAGGGGACATAACCACATCTTGTCTGCTCAGCTGATAAGCATACTGACTGCTGTCTCTTACTGTGCTTGGGTACAGTGCCCCCTAAAATGGGTCACCAGTTTCAATGGGTGCTAATGTTGTGCTGATGTCAGGCAAGCAATAGAAAATAATACTCTTATTAAATGAGTATCTTCTGATCAGCTCCAGAGCAGTCAAAGAAACACATGCTCAGAGGTTTTTTTCCCAGAAACAGGCCACATGAAACGAATCTCATTTTTTTAACAGTGACTGACGTTCATAAATCTTTGTATGTCCATGCTGTTTGCTGAGCACAGTGAGGACATGGGTATCATGTGAGATTATTTGTGCACTAGTGATAAAAATCACATTGATACAAGGAGAACTCAATACTCATTCCTTCCCATTGCTCCAGCAGCTCCCCATATTACTCTCAGTCTCTTTTTTTTTTCCTCCTTTCTCAAAGGAGGAATATTTTTTCCACTGTCAGTAGGAATCTCCATTATATAGTAGTGCCATTGCATGGTAGCTGCTCTAAACATGCTTCCCATCATCAGGTCTGAGCTCAAGTTTACCATGGACAGGAACTGTACTTGCAGGACTATTATCCTTGAGTGCTCTTCCCAGAACAAACTGGTTTAGATTTGCTGTCTTCCCCCAGAGGACAGAGGCTGGTCGATGAGGTCTTGAGGGGCTCCAGCAGTGCTTGCATGTCCCATCCCCATCACAGCTAGTGCAGGACAGCAGGAGATTTCTTCCCAGTCTGCCTTTCATGCATTGGCCAAATCCTGAGGTCTCCACAGAGCCACTGTGTACAGTACCAGTGGTATCTCCAGCCACTTGTGCCATGCTGTGCAAGTCTGTCACGCAGCATTACTGGCAGGGAGGTATAATGCAGCACGGCATCACCAGCGTCACAGAAGAGGAAAAGCTCCAGGAGCAAAGAAAGATGAGAACCCAAGTGTGGATGATGCTGTCTGCTTGCTTTACTCCTCCTTGCCTTTGCTTTCAGGTCCTGAAACAGCTCTTCCACTGGCTTCCTGCTGAACTTGAACCATCAGACAATAAGTAATGCAGACCAAGTTCTGGAGGTGTGCAGAAAGAGTTTAGCACTCAGATTCAGGAATGAGCTCTAAACAGACTGCAGTAGTTTGGTGCATGTAAGTGTCCTGATAGCAAGGGATGTTACAGGCATACAAAACTCACTGGCTCCCTTGTGTCTCATGTCTACGTATCTGTTGTAATTGGCTTTGGTTGCATCTCTGAACTTTGCCTAAAGCACGTAACACTCATGAATCTGCAAAATTGGACTGGAAGTCTCCAGAGAAGAGGATTACCCAGGAGAATTTTAGTATTTCCTGCTTCCAATTGGGCTGGAACCAACACAAAAACAGCTCTAACAGTATTTGGCTCTTGCACGCCTGGTCCCAGCCAAAAGGCAGGAAATTTAGAGGTATGTAAAGATGAAAAATAAATGATGGGAGATTGGGATGAGGAACAGAGCCAAGGTTTTGAGAAACTAAAGGGGAAAAAACTTCAGTTGGGTCAGTTCTTACTTGTTTCTGAAGCATTTTGCTAACCTGCAGGGCTAGGTCCTCCCCTCTGCATGACACCTGGACTTTCTTACAAAAGAAGAATCCCTAAAGGCTAGATCTGGGGGCTTTGGCACCATTTTATACCTCCCTGAAACAGAATAAAACTGCCAAGTCAGACTGGGATCTAGCCCAGAGTTTGTATTAATTAAATTATTTATTTAGCTGATAATTACAGGCTTCCTGGGCCTCATTCTCCTTGTACTCACACAAGTGCTGTTTGGAGACCTCTGCTGAATTCAGAGGAAAATGTAACCTTCTCACTGTTCTTCAGCAGACCTGGCAACTGTTAGAAAGGCCGTAACAACTCTGCAGTATTACAGATCCATACATAAACACAGCATTTCAGACAGAAACCACCTATCAAGATGAACAGTGGGAAATTGTTTTGCGTGCATGCCTGGAAATCGAGTGTTTAGATGTAGCACTGCAGGTTTTTGCTGCCTGTGACCTCCCTCACCAGCACAACAAATTGCAATTTGTCAGGGCAGGGATGGATTTGTACATCTATGGAGCATGAACACAGCCTCTTGGGCTACTGGTTGCATTACATAGTTGCATGCAAAAGAGAAAATTGACCCTTTTAATAGCAAGCAAGGACTCCAATAGCAATCACAGGGCATCCCAAGCAGTTTGTACCTAGTTACAGTAAGATGGTGATGCAGATGGCAGGAAGAGCCCTGTGGTTGTGGAGGTACCTGGCAAGGTGCTACACTAGCCTCTCCGGATCAGTTCGGCCCAGCTGGCACTATACTGTCTGCATCTGTCAGGAGAAAGCCTGCTTAAGGACTGCTGCTCTATAGTCAGAACTGTCAGTAGCTTCTTCTCCTCTCTTTGATACACTCAAAATTGTATCCTGGCCAACCAGGCCAGGTTGCATGGGGCTTCAGGCAACCTGAAACCACATGATCCTTTAGGTCCCTTTCAACCCAAACCATGGTATGATTCTATGATTTATAGTCTTAGAGCCAAACCTACATATATTATGTATTTTTGCCTTTACTCTTGGGCTGGGTAATCCAGTGTAGACTAGGTGCATAAAGGTCTCATGTGCCATTACCATTTGTATAAAACAGCCTGACCTACTAATAGTTCACACTAGGTGATGAAGGGGTATCTCTTTGCTTTTAAGCTATATGTGACTGCACAGCGTTTAACTGCAGCTCTTCCCCTGAGGTAGTGTCAAGCAACCAGCAGCTGAGGCTGCCAAGGAATTTGCTTCTGCAGCTGGGAGAGAATGTGGATAAGGATGATAGCTCTGGTCAATGCCACTGATAACCCCAGTTGCCTGCTGCATGCTCAGCACCAGGCCAGTGGGCAGCATGGGGGTGGTAACTCTGCAAAGATCCTGCTCCTGGGTCTTCCATTTCCACAGCCCTCTGGCAGATGAGAGGAGTGATAGCTCTCAGCTGCTTGTGTATTTTGGTATGCAGCTCAGAAATCTGGCTATCTCACTCTGTTGAGTCAGACCACGTGTATCTTGATAGCTGGGTATGTTCATCCACTCCTGAAGAGAGGGAATAATCTAATTAGATTCTTGCTAGCCATAAATTTGGAGTAGTCACAAGTAATGTAAACAACTGAATATTTTCAACTGGGTTTCATATCCCTGGAAGATAACTGCCTAAATGTTTGGGTATTGGTCCTCTAATTAGATACATATTTTCCTGAATCCATTCTATCATGTGAAAAAGACTTATAAAAATTGGTCTTGAGTGGTAGCTTGCTTTAGTCTTACAGTACAGTCACCAAATGAAAGTTCTTTTAAAACCTACTCTAGTCCCAGTTTTCATCCAACAAAGAAGGGCCAAACCCTGTGGATCTTCGAATACCAGAGGTCAAATTAAAAATGAGACTGCATATTTAAGAAAAAATAAAATGTCTTGGTTTTAGACTTGCAAATAGAAGCACAAATACCCTTGGTTTAACCTTCTTGTAGCCATTTACTCAGAATGTATTTACGTTGTCATCCAAATGCTTAAACAGAAAAGCTTTTCCCCATGGCAGTGACCTTCTCTTTGTTTTCTGAGGTCTTGTTCCCCAGATTCACATGTCAGGAGACTATGATATAACTCCTTTAGCACATGCTACCAGACCATTCCATTTGTAGTTTTACTCATTTCTGTCAAAGAAAATGGGCAATGGCTTTGCCTTCAGCTGTCTCTTTTTACTGGCATCTTAACTTCGACATCTTTCACCACTTGGGGCTTAAGAGGCTTCTTAAAATTGAGAAAGGACAAGTCCAGCTCTTTTTTTCCATAAGCCTCTGCTGTTCAGGTCCCACTTGGTTATCAATGGCAGTGTTATGAAAGTTCAGCAAGGCTAAACACTCATTAACTGCTTACAAGCTTTCTTGGCTCAGCAAGTAAATCCTTCAACAGTTCTGCTTGCTTATTCTGCTATCCCATTAGACAGGATAACATTTGGGCTAAACAAGAAAGGTTTTCACAGGCATGTGCCTTTGCAAGCAGAAAATCCTGACTGCTTAGGGTACATTTCTTGCAGAGCCCAGGTGACTATTTATGCACAACAAGTTTTTCCATTCCAAAATCAGAATGCAACTCTGAGTTGCATAAAGGATCCTAAGGACCACAGCAGTACAGATATAAATAACCATTTCACCCTAACACATACCCTGAGGTCAGGAAAGCAGATTGGTTGTTGTTGCCACTTCTTCTTCTTGGGGAACACCTGCCTCCTTTTCCTTCAGAGTACTGGTGGAACAGGAGTACAGAACTAGATCTACTGATGGGTGGTGTTAAGGGGAAATTCAGTCAGCATCATATTACAGTCACTTTGACCCACATTAATCTGCCTTGAACTCCAGTTTAGTCCCTTGTGAACTTTATGACCAAATCACTTTTGGGGTCCAGCAAGAGCTAGGAAGCCCATGTTGTAGAAATGGCAGTGGAATTTAGGTCAAATGAGGATTCTTGTTGGCTGTGAAGTTTAGAAGTTAAATCCTTACCTGGATGAAGCAAATTGTCATTTACAACAAATATCCATCAGCAGTCTTGCTTCGTTTTCAGTCGGGAGCATCCCTGGGCCTGGGCAATAGGTTTGTAAGTTTCTAAAGACATGAAGGAGAGGCTTTCTGCAACCTCAGTAGTACCTGCAGTGTTTCTTTGGCATAGTGAAAGCTGTGAAAATGAAATATTCCTTTTGCTCGCTATATCCCACCTTCAGAGTTTACCAGTGCTCCACACAGTCACTAGTCTCTGAAGCAGCTCAAAGTCAGAATGTTCAGAGCCTTTTCTGTGGCATGTAACCTGACTAAGCATTGTACCTATTACTTTTGCAGCTCACTCCCTTTCACTGGAAACTCTCAACAGAGGTCAAAATCTGTTGAAGATGATCCATGGATCCGTACACTTCAGCTTACGAGTTTTTGTTTTCTTTCTTCCTCTTCAAGCTGTTCCTACTTCTCAGCAGTTTCTATAATCTTTCTTCTTCCACCCAGTTCCAATCCCTGCTGGCATGTCCAGTAGCCTATCAACCTTCATTTTCCCTTCCCTCTCCTGTTTCCTTGTGGGACACCCTTTTGTCTCCAAAACCCCCTTATCTTTCTACTAATCACTGCTAAATCTTCTCTTCCCCAAATCAATTCCTCTTAGCTCAGGTTCACATCTTTGGTATTGCTTCACTGACATCTTGTCACTCCCTTGGCCTAGCTGGCAAGAACAGACCCAGTTCCCTTCCTGTGCCCTCTTCGTTCCTCCAGCCTTTCCTCTGTGTGCAGTTTCTACAGTCTGGATGTTCTTCATCTTCCACGTAACCAATATCCCTATCTTAAGTTTCATACCCAAGTCATCTGAAACTATATCTGTGTTTTCACTCATTAGTCAGGCTTGTGAGAGGTTTGGATTTCATTTATGTCTAGATAATCATAGAAACATAGAATAGTTAGGGTTGGAAAGGACCTTAAGGTCATCTAGTTCCAACCCCCCTGCCATGGGCAGGGACACCTCACATTAAAACACATCACCCAAGACTCCATCCAACCTGGCCTTGAACACTGCCAGGGATGGAGCATTCACAACTTCCCTGGGCAACCCATTCCAGTGCCTCACGACCCTTACAGTAAAGAACTTCTTCCTTATATCTAACCTGAACTGAACCCAGACTGTATGGGACATTAGTTGCCTCTGAAGAGCTGCTTTGAGGTTAGGTGGCAGGTAAAAGTCTAGCTGCCAGCACAATGTGGGGAAGAATCCTGCCCTCCTCAGGGTCTGCACTGAGGGGGAAATGTTTGAGAAAGAACCAGGAAGAAGGGCTCTCCAGCCCAACTGTATACCAGCAATACTGGAAACACCATGAAGCTGGAGGAAAGTTCACTTGATATAAGGCATCATTTAAACTGTGATGGTTATTGTATGTACAAAACCAAAGCCCCAGCATGGATGGTATTCCACTTAGAAGTATCTGTGTCCACCTATTTAGGGTTTTGGAAGAAGTTTAAATGGAGTTAGGAGAAGGATGCCTCACAGGGTTTAGTTTTGTTTACAGTCCTCTGTACTCCCTTCTCATCCGTCTTCAGTCCACTTAGTAGCAGAGCTCACCCTCCTCTTCCACATTCTGTTTATACTCCTTTTCCTCCTTGAGCAGCCACTGTGCTTGCATGAAAAGCTTGGATAGGATTTCAGAAGCTTGGATAGGATTGGAATTCAAAGGATTCACTCCTTTGATTTTTGTTCACAGCTTCAAACTCATCCTTTGTATCTTCTAAACTTCTGTCTTTTATTTGGACCCAAAGTACTAGTAGTATCTCTTTTACTGGTTACTTTTCCCTTCTTATAGATAGAAAACATAAAAAATCAAAATAGATAAAAAATAAAAAATTGCATTAACTAAAACTAATTAGCACATTAATTTCAATCCAGTTTCTTGGGGAAAACAGTTAAGTTTAGCATTTTATTCATTATTTTCATAATTTCTGCCTCATAACAGAAGCCACTGATTAATTTCAGTAAAATCAGGCAGATGTAAAGAAACCTCAAAACACTAAGTTCAAACAATTACTTAATTTTAAGTAGTGCAACTGAAGCTATGAATTCAGTGATTGGGAAATCAGCAACTAAAATGAAGGGAAAGACACTAAACAGAACTTCTGCCTATGGAAAAGCTGCAGTAAGAACTGATCATCTCTCAGACTGTATGCTGCTTTAATAATACTTACCTAGTTTCCATTTCTTACTTTTAAGCCATGTGTTTAATTTGTTGGGGTTTTTTTCCTCATTTTCAGGGAAAGCACTGATTTCACTTGTTGTAAGCTTTTATTTTCCCTTCCAAAAGCCAAATATCTGGTCATCCCAACAGTCTTGTGGGGAATTTGTCATGCATCAAGCTGCACAAACTCACAAACTTGGCCTTAATTTTTAGACCATTCACATACTGGTCTATTGTTTCTGCAGGAGTCTGATATCTGGTAATAAATAAAAAAATTACATCCAAATGTCACATATTTCTTGGAGCTGAAATAGTTCTGGAACTGATCCATTAGTAAAGTTAACTTTGTGTTATCCTTTTACATCACAGAGATGAGAGTACTTCCAATACATCATGCCCAATCACATGAAGGAAAGCAGATGCTTGTCGTTTTCCTCACCATCTTGCTGGTACATAAATACCTTTCAAGTGTTTGTCTCCCCCTTCTCCTATGTTAGGATAAGGCCTCTAAAAAAAACCCCGTTTGTCAGGGTGCCATATGTCTGCTATTCTCACCGTCAGTCCAGTGTAGTAACAGTTCAGCTGTGCTGGGGTCACAGACACTTTGTGCAGGAACAAAGGCAAGGCATGAACTAACATGGTGTTTGCAATTGCTCTAGTCAGCTCAGCTAGGAGAGTGAAGTCCTTGACATAAATCAGAGTACCATGTAAACTGCTCTAATCTGGTTAATCTGGTACCTTAGAGCAGTCACATATATCACTATAATGTTTGCCTATGCTATAAAACCAGATCATGCAAGAAAAAAGACCTTTAAGAATTAGGGTTGCTAACACACTGTTAAATACTCAACTCAGGCAGACACCATCACGTTTAGCATTGTGACAGCTGGTCAGCCCATGGGTTTAACCACAACCAGCTGATGTGATGTTAAACACAACAGTCCCTGTCTGTGTTCAGTGTTTAGCAGCATGTTTAGCATTGTCTTAGTTACCAAGATTCCTCGGGGTTGTGTTTTATCATGGTGCAATTTTCCAGTGTAGTAGAGCTCCAAAAGGCTAGATTTTACAACCATTGGAAGGTAGGTCAGAATATAAAGTGTCAAAGAGGAATAGGTGGTACGCTTGGCTTATGGCTATTGAAGAGATCTTCCTCCTACATGTGATATTGCCACAGGTACAATCCTGGGAAAAGAGATCCTTTGTTTAAGGAGGTGCTGATAGCAGGTATTTTTTCCTGCTGGGTCCTCCATTCTGGAGCAGCCTCCACCCTTTTTTTTATGAAAAACCTCAAATTAACTGACTTGGGGGCATCCTGGCAGGATGTATCTATTTTCTTAGTTTTTATTGGAAATGACAGGTTGAGCGAATCAAGATGGCAAGTTGAGGGAGCCTCCTGCTTTGGCACAGGAACTGTTGCAATAGAGCAAATCAAGATATCTTGGATTTTTAGCCATAGCTGTGTGTATATTTAAAACAATTACCCAAGTGTGTGGAGTCATCCTGATGGGTGCTTTTTAAATAAACATGGAGAAATAGCTGAAGCTAAACACATTACGTCATCATGTAACTCCTGTAGTTTGAATGCTCCACTGAGCCTCTTCCCAGATATTTAAGGAGCAGCACTATTCAGCCCTCGGATAAACTTTGGAGAAGCTTGGACCTGGGTTGACAACCAAGTTTTGAATCTTGCCTCCTTTATCTATTAGCAAATAAAGTCAATCTTTGATCAGAACATTCCTGAACTCTCAGAAATTATGAGTATGATTCAAACAGGCTGTTGGACCTTTGTTTCCTCCAGTTTTCTTCACTCAGAGTGGTGAGTCCCAAGCTGACAGGTCCTCAGATTCTTGACACAGTTGCAATGCAATGGGTTGCTATGGATCCTTAGATTCTTGATGCAGGTTCCTGAATGAACCTTGAAGATCTCCTGCCAAACATTGCAAAACCTGTCCAGCTTTGCAAAAGTAAACCTCTGAACAATATGTCTAGCTATGCCCTGTGCCCTTCTTTTGCTTAATAAACAATGGAAAATTTTGGGGAGAAGAATTCATGTTCCTGAAACATTAAAATTAACTAAAATATGTAATGTCAGGGAATGTAAATGTAAGACACCTTTCGCTAGTGGCATGTCAGCTCATAAAGGCAATTCAAATTTAAGTGAAAATAAGTTGTCTTAAAGACATGTTTTTAAAAAAAATCACTGAAAAATAGCTGTTTGTTGGAAAAATATTTTCCACCCTTACATTTGCAACCATACTGGCTATGCACAGCAGGACAAAGAAAACCAAAATTGTATTGACTCCGACATTTTCTGGCTTTTGAGTAAAACAGGCCAAATGATAGTTGATGGCTTGATCCAAAGTGTCATATGAAGGACAGTGGATCAAATGTAAGACCTTACTATTTTAATACAGTCCTGAGCAAAATATAAATAAATCATTACCTTAGTACTTACATGGTTTAGGAAATTTGTCTATAAGTTGTCACTGCTTACTATTCTCCTGACTTTCCTTTGGGTTGATTCTTTAGGAAGAATAAAGAGATGTTGTACAGGAGGCTAGGGGCCAGGTTAGGAAAGCTAAGACCCAGTCAGAATTAAATTTGGCTAGGGATATTAAGGATAACAGGAAGGGATTCTATAGGTACATAGCAAATAAAAGACAGACTAGGGACAATGTGGGTCCTCTCTGGAAGCTATCAGGAGAACTTGCTATGCTGGATTTGGAGAAGGCTGAGGTTCTTAATGACTTCTTTGCCTCGGTCTTCACTGGCAAAGGCTCTGACCGCACCACCCAAGTCTTGGAAGGCAGATGCAGGGACTCTGAGAATAAAGACCTTGGGCCCACCGTACGTGAGGAACTGGTTCGAGACCATCTTAAAAACCTGAACGTGCACAGGTTCATGGAACCTGATGAAATCCATCCGCAGGTCCTGAAGGAGCTGGCAAATGAAGTTGTTAAGCCACTGGCCATCATATTTGAAAAATCATGGCAGTCAGAAGAAGTTCCGGACAACCGGAAAAAGGGAAATATAACCCCCATTTTCAAGAAGGGGAAAATGGATGACCCAGGGAACTACAGAACAGTCAGTCTCACCTCTGTGCCTGGCAAAATCTTGGGCAGATTCTCCTGGAAGGCATGCTAAGGCACATGAAAATCAACAAGGTGCTTGGTGACAGCCAGCATGGCTTCACTAAGGGGAAATCCTGCCTGACCAATTTGGTGGCCTTATATGTTGATCATACGGAACTGAAAGACAGCAGTAGAGCAGTTGATGTCATCTACCTGGACTTGTACAAGGCGTTCGACACTGTCCCACACAACATCCTTGTCTCTAAATTGCAGAGACATCAATTTGATGAATGGACCACTTGGTGGATAAAGAACTGGCTGGATGGCAGCACACAAAGAGTTGTGGTCAATGTCTCAATGTCCAGCTGGAGACCAGTTACGAGTGGTGTCCCTCAGGGATCGGTGTTGGGACCGGTCTTGTTCAACATCTTCGTCGTTGACATGGACAGTGGGATTGAGTGTGCCCTCAGCAAGTTTGCCGATGACACCAAGCTGTGTGGTTCGGTTGATACGCTGGAGGGAAGGAATGCCATCCAGAGGGACCTTGACACGCTTGTGAGGTGGGCTGATGCCAACCTCATGAAGTTTAACCATGCCAAGTGCAAGGTCCTACACCTGGCTAGGAGCAATCCCAGGCACAGCTACAGGTTGGGCAGAGAAGAGATTCAGAGCAGTCCTGTGGAGAAGGACTTGGGGGTCTTGGTTGATGAGAAAATGAACACGAGAAGGCTTCAGTGTACGCTTGCAGCCCAGAAAGCCAACCGTATCCTGGGCTGCATCAAAAGGAGCGTGACCAGCAGGTCGAAGGAGGTGGTCCTGCCCCTCTACTCTGCTCTCGTGAGACCTCACTTGGAGTACTGTGTGCAGTTCTGGTGTCCTCAACATAAAAAGGACATGGATCTGTTGGAACAAGTCCATGGGAGGGCCACGAGAATGATGAGGGGACTGGAGCACCTCCCATATGAAGACAGGCTGAGAAAGTTGGGGCTGTTCAGACTGGAGAAGAGAAGGCTGTGTGGAGACCTCATAGCAGCCTTCCAGTATCTGAAGGGGAGCTATATGGATGCTGGGGAGGGACTCTTCATTAGGGACCGTAGTGATAGGACAAGGGGTAATGGGTTAAAACTTAAACAGGGGAAGTTTAGATTGGATATAAGGAGGAAGTTCTTTCCTGTTAGGGTGGTGAGGCACTGGAATAGGCTGCCCAGGGAAGTTGTGAATGCTCCATCTCTGGTGGTGTTCAAGGCCAGGTTGGACGAAGCCTTGGGTGACATAATTTCGTGTGAAGTGTCACTGCCCATGGCAGGGGGGTTGGAACTTGATGATTTTAAGGTCCTTTCCAACCCTAACTATTCTGTGATTCAATGATTCTATGAAGAAGACCACTTCTCGAGCACCTCTGCACATGCTGAAAATCTCTTCAGGCAATCTTTTTGAAAACCTTGACTGTGGGACAGTTGTCTTGATGCAGATACAGCAAATTATCTGTTCCAGTTTGGTCCTTTTCAGCAAGCCAGCTGCCAGATAAGACTTACCACAGTGCTTTTGTCACTTGTAGATCTACGTCAATGTGGTTGCAAATTTTGGAAACTCAAGACATGAAGATAAACTCTTGTGAAGTGTGATGATGTTTCATGCTTTTCAGCAGGGGACAAGTCAGACAGGAGCCAGCTGAGAGCCAGCCACCCTTGGTACTGGCAAGAATAAGTCTTGCAAGGAGACAAAAGGAGTCTCTAGGCAAAGTTCTGGTTTTCTTTTGTTTTGTTTAATTAATGTCCCAGACAATTTGTGAAGACAATGTCTAATTTATCGAGCAGTTAGGATATTATCAAGGCTTCCAACACAGCACTGTCACATATACTGTGGTGTACATAAAGGATATCATCTCAGGGGCAGTTTCAGTAAGTGAAAGGGTTGGAAGCTACGTAAGGTAAACAAGGCTGTTGGGACTTTTTTTCCTGGTGTAGCCACACTTAGAGCTGCCAAAAAGTAGGCAAACTTTTGCTTCCAAAAATAAAAAGTGATTATACTCTGTCTAACCAAGCCTACTCTTAACTACAGCACTGCCTATCACAAAGAGAAGGACAGATATGTATTTTGTGGTATTATTTTTGGAAAGTTTCCATTCAGGAGTTTGCAAGAATAATATGGGTGTGTTGCTGGTGCGGAGCTGAGTGTCTCCATGACTGTGAACTCATGGTCCTGTAGACCACTGCATTATTATCTTTGCAGCTTTGTATGGGCACTGGACACTGATTTTTTTATTCACCAGATTATCACCCAACTCTAGAGCTCTAAAGGCCTGATCCTGACATCTGTAGGTGCTTCTGCACAGACTCCAGGGATGGTTCCAGGAATTATAATCTTTGCCTAACAGGTCACATGCAGTTAGCAAAGCAAGAGACTCTCTACTTCCCTCCACATTCAGCTATGTTTACTTATCCTCAGACAGGCCCCTGTGATACTTCTTCCACATCTGCTCTGCCCAGACTTTTTCTGCATCACTAACAAGGACAAACTTTGGTCCAACTTTCAGTCTTCTGTGCAATTTTGAATAGGGATGATATCATCAGCTCTGTGACAGGAAGAGTGGGAGTCTCAGCATGGCTGGTTTGCTGAGGTATCTTTGGCTGAAGACCAGAATCCTAGCCTGCCTTCATTACATGTGTACGTGAGCAGGTCTGACCCCCGTCAAAGGGTGTTTCACATCTGTTTTTCAAATGGTGAATAAACAGGCTCTTACACCAGGCAATTTTAATCTAATTTTGTCTCTGCTACTGGTGGTACATGATCTTGCAGAAGTCACTCCATCTTTTCATGCCTCTGTTTCTCGTCCCCACCATCCTTCTACACCCTACCAGTTGAGCTGCTTAGTTTCAGGCGCTATGGTATTACAGGGTCCCTAATGTGCTTACAGTATTCAGCCCTGACTATAATTTGGATCTCTTGGCAGTTTCACAACACAAAGAATAACAGTCCAGTATGGGTGATTGCAGGTTTTAATTCAGCAGTAAACAAAGGGGTCCTGGATGTGTGCTTTCTTTGCACTAGCAGCTGAATTCTTTGTGTGCTGCTTCTGACTCATCCAGATAGGTTCTAAAACCAGAAATTACAAGGTAGGGTGCAAGTTGCCATAATGTGCCTGGCTGCACACTCTTAACTTGTTGTATGCTTTACAGAAGTATTCTAAGCAAGGGCATGTTCAAACTTTGCCTGTTAGGCACACTGGCAGCTTGTCAGGGTCTCCGCCAATTTGAATTAATTAATTAGCACAGCTACGTTACCCATCTGGGAGCCCTCCAGGCTTCAGGTTCTAATATGCTCTGTTTCATCTTGAGGAGGGGAAACACTGTTTAGTCATGACAGGGCACTGCGTTGTGGTGTTTGGGCTCCATGGGTTCATCTCAGGAATTGAAATGGGAGAACAGCTGCAGGCTATCACATAGCACTTCCTGGGTGACTGCTTGGTGATGTGCAAGATGCATAGGAGAGATGGCTGGATCTCAGTTTTGTGTTTCACTGCATTTCAGTTCCCTGCTAGCAAAATGGCAATAGCAACACATAGGCTTCCTGGCTAGTCTGTTATCTGGAGCATCAATTATTTAGAGGAGAGTATGTTTCTAATATTTTTCAGCTGCTAACCAAAAACACCGTGTAAATCTCTGGGTTTGAGTCAAGCATAGAATTTATATAGCAAGTATTCACAACAATGCTTGTAGTGATAGCAAAACACACCCAATCCCAATAACCTAAAGAGCAGTCACAATTCTAACCCTGGGAGGAACTGCAAGTTACATTTGTCCTTTTTAAATAAACCTTTCCTGTAATATTTCTACACATTGTGAAGAATGGTCACTTTTCTCAGGAAGAAACTTCCCTCTTGCTAACAAAATTGTGAGATTTGTTCAGAACAGCCAAATCAAAAACACGGGAACAAAATCAAAAGAGGACTGAAACAACCCCCAAGTCACAGGTACAACTGCTTTGTCCAGCTGCTGTCCGTTGTCTAGAGAGTGGCCTATTTCATAAATTAAATACATCTTCCTTGTTAATTGTCTTTTGACAGGCCCCAACTATCTTCCCACAACTGAAGTGCCCCAGGCCATGGCAAAGACACAGCATTTTTTCAAAGTCCCACCTACTGTCACGCTTCTTAGGCATAGCATTGCTTTTTTACTCTGTTTTCCAGGTCACAAATGACACAGCACAGGAGTAAATTATTAGCCACTTATCACAGACAAGAAGTTTTGCCTTGTAAATCCTTTTCCACGCTCAGAGTTCCACTGGTTTAATTAAAGGTGTGTTTTAAAATCAAATTAGTTAAGCCAGTGCAAACACTGGAATCTATTTAAAGTAGGTTTGTATTGATTTAGCTTAATCTGATCAGGAAATGACTTAAACTAAATTGACACAGAGCAGATTTAAATCATTCTGAGTGGCTACATCTTGTGTCAGTTTAACTAAATCATTCTAAAACCAATTTTGTGTGGATCACTATTGTGCTACGGAGGATGAGCTAAAAAGGTGAATCAAATAACCAGATAAATGAATTGACAGTTAGGACCTGATTCAGCACTGCAATACTTTGGTGTAAGTCTCTGTCACAGAGTTGTAGTTGTTCACAGTTGTAATAAAACTTGTAGTAAAACTCAGAATGGAGCATGGTTTGATAGTGCTTCCTCTAGGCATTTTGTAAGGTTTCCAACCTTAAAACGGGACAAGCTATTTTGGACTTTTTTTTTAAACAGCCCTGGCAGTAACTCTCAGATACAGTAATTTCCTGAGTCTCATATTCATTTTTCATTTTTTATTTAAAATTCCTGAAAACTTGGAGCTTAGAGTAAACAATAATATTAAACCTTGCTTGACTCCTTTTAAGAATTACTGCTTTCTAATCAAGGTTGACAGTCTTTCCTTTCTAACACAAATGAGGTAAGCACATTTTCATAAATGGTGCATTTCCATCCAAGATCTGCTCTTTTAATTATGCTTAGGAAAGCAAGGAGGGAGGGGATATCGCATTTTCAAATAAAATTCCCCTAAATGAAATCCTACAGAAGCTTAAGGTCTGAGGTAGGTTTCTTGTGGTGCTTTTATATTGTAAATACTGAGGTTTTAGATTACTTACTTAGCTTTAGTCACCAGCGGAGCTGGCTTTAAAATAAAATGAGAACACTGAAACAGCTGTAGCAGTGTATATGAGTCACTTGGACCTTGGCAGAGATATGAACATTAAGGTAGGAGTATCACTGCTCTGCAAGCTTACCAAGACGCCTTGTTGTTGAGTGTACCCCCAGGCAAAAAATGAATGATGTCTGCTAGTCTCATAACAAACACCATGCTGCAGAAAACCAAGCAAGGCATATCAGTGGTTTCTCTTTTTTTTTTTTTTTAAACAGGTGGTCACCAGTGTTTGGGGCTTAAATAGGTCTTCCAGTGCTATTATAGGCCAGCAACAGGAATGGGTGTTGTAGAATCAGATGTGCATGTTGGAGGGTCTGTCCCGGCGACCTGCATGAAGAGGGAGGAATAAGACACTTGTCTAGACGAGCTCAGGCTATAACAGAGGTGGCAGAAAGATGAACATAACACTGATAAATTGGGTTTTTTGGAGGCTTCACTGAAAATCAGCACAGATGGCTCTTTCACCCACACCCTAGCAAAAAATTGTGATTTATGGTTGGAGGCAGCAAGCATGTTGCCATAAATTATGGCAGTTTAAGAAGCTCACATTTGTAATTGGGAGCTGGCAATTATTTACCATGAAATGTGATCATTACTGTCAGGTGACGATGACATTCCCCTGCTTTATGCATTCAGTAACTTTGAAGACTCTGCATGAACTCTTTGGGGGATGGAAAGAAGAGAGCTGGCTTCTCTCCATCGCCGCTACCAAAACGGGTGTGTGTTTTGGCAGTAGTTTTGCTTGGAATATTCAATTCAGATTAATGTAATTTCAACATCTACCGTCCCAAGTGTGTGCTGGTGCCACTAAACATACTCGTTTGCCAACTGTGAAGTGCAGGTCATGTCATTCAGCATGGAAGTGAAGTGATCCTTATCTATCTCCCCTGTGTGTACCTTTCAGATTAGCTCCACTGAGATCAATGGCATTACAAGGGTTTAAAAGCAGCAGTGGTGAGAACTATTCTATTCTATTCTAACAGTCCCAGGAGAGGCAGTAGATTATCAGGCAATTTGGGGTGAGAAACTGTGATTGTTTAGTCATTTAATAATCATCCTAAATAAAGATGCAGCATCACATTCTGGCTGCAACCATTCACATAAACATGGAAGCAGCTGGGAGGTACTGGGAAGAAAAGGTCCTTTTCTCTCCAGTCACCACCCTCCCTAGTCAAGGGATCCATTTTGTCTGGAGCTGTGTAAAGCAAGCCCATGTTACAATATTTTGGGATGCAGGTCCTTCTGATACTGTGTTGTAGCTGGTTCTTCTTTTTATCTAACTCATAGTAAATACATATGACTATCACCAGTATTAATCAGAGATTCCATAGACTTAGATTGCATTTCATTATATTTCATTAGATTTCATAGATTTTATTTCCTATTCTTATGAAGTTAATACATTTTATTTTCTACAATAGAAGACAGGTATTTTTATATTTTATATTTTCCTGTGTCCCTGGCATCTTAATTGTCCCTTGCATGTGTATATTGTAAATTCAAACTACTTCTGAGAGTTT